CCCCGAACCCACAATAATTGGAAATTAAGCGCTTTATTGTATTATACCCACTTGTGCTCTTCCAAAAATAGCTCACTGTCTTATTTTTTTCCCACCGGTTTAACCTGGGCAAGGCATGCAGTTGCTTATTGTTAATTGACACAATAGTATGGTTTTTGTCTACTAAGCTTATCTCGATTAAACATAAACACTTTCAGTTTGTCTGTACAAACGTTCTGCCTGCAGCAGTGAGCGCCGCAAAGCTTTTACCAAACTAAATAACCTAATAATAATAAATAATAATAAATAGCATTTGTATAGTGCATATCCCCGCTCAACAGCAGGCTCTATGCGCTTTACACTATATTACTACCCCAGCAGACCATAGAACACTCCGAAACATTCTCAGCTTCCCGAGAAGCATACCTAACAAATGTTCTTTTTGGAAACACCTTGTATTGAAAGAGTTAAGCCAATTTGATGGGATGCTTTCCTTTCCGATTTTCCTGTGTGGTTAGGAAATTTGGAGCAATGAAAGAGTTAAAAGTTAGGCTATGCCATCTATGTTTAACTCTGAATTACCAAAGATAGTGAAAATAACTCAGAAGAAACAAACTTGCAGTTTCTTGGGAGTCTGCTGAGAATCTCATGGGAGGACAGAAATCAAGAGGGGTAGAACTTAGGGAAGCCCACGTGAGCCGCTCATTCATCAAAACCAATTTAAAAAGAGACGAATATAGTTTTCTGGAGACTTGAAAAACTGACACAAAGACCTTAAACATCTTTCTCTATAGATACATTTGAAGGCAAAAGAAGCAGAGGTATTCCATGGGCAGCTTATTTGGAAAGCCTGAACAGATGGGTGACGGGGAAAGCCCAAGATTAACTTGATGATAATACATGTATAGCATAGTTTGTTTTTTCTTTAGAGCATCCAAATAAAGAAAGGAATGACAAATTGTAACCGCCGATGTCTGTTTCAGATCAGGCACTAGATGATGAGGATGATGATGATGATGATGATGATGATGATGATGATGATGATGATGATTATGATGATGATGATAGCACTGAATCACTTACCAGGTAATACTAGGGTTACGTAGTTTGCAATAACCTTACAAATCAAGCAACGAGTATTATAAGCAGCTTACCTCGTGAGAAAAAAATGACATGCACTTACACACCACGTGATCTCCCTTTGTCTGGAAAAATCAAGTAAAACACTCCGTGCTAGCGGTCAGTGCAGTGAAGTGAACGAGATGGGTTAGGGGGGGCTACTTACGAGGGCACAGAATCAAAAGGTTATATCTGCAGTATATCGCTGTACTGAAGATGGAACGTTTCGACCCTGGGCCCTCGACGTGTCTTGTTGATGACAGAGACGGCTCGTCTGGTGTCAGAGACACTTCCGGTGTCTGAGACACTTCCGGTGTCTGAAACACTTCCGGGGTGTCAGAGACACTTCCGGTGTCTGAAACACTTCCGGTGTCTAAGACATTTCCTGCGTCTGTCTGAGACATTTATACGGCGTTTGAGACACTTCCAGGGTCGTGCTGGTCTCTTCAGGACTATTTCCGGAACACCGTAATACGTCATTGTGAGCCAAGATGGCGTCCTCACGTACAATATATAGATAGACTGACGGATAGATGGACAGACAAACAGACAGACAGGCAGGCAGACAGACAGACAGACAGACCGACAGGCAGACAGACAGACAGACTTAAACGAGGAGAAAAATAGTTGATCAAAGAGAGAGAGAGAGAGAGAGAGAGAGAGAGAGAGAGAGAGAGAGAGAGAGAGAGAGAGAGAGAGAGAGAGGGGGGGGGGAGAGATACCTGTCCTCCTTTCACAATTGTCTCTACTGACCGGATGGTAGAATGACTGACGTCACAGTTTGTCGGAGAACTTCTACTGAGGACGTCGTCTCGAGATTGGCGCCAATATTTCAACTACAGTTAAACCTAACCAGAACGGTCACTCCAGAGCACAGAGAAAATTGACCGTCACAGACAGGCGGTTGATATGAACAGGGTCTGCGTTAGTATGGTCTCTCACTAAACTCGACAAGGTCAACAGATCTGAAATCTTAATTTCTTTTAGTTTTAGTAAGAGTTTTACAGCTCTTGCAACACAATAAGGTTATATAATTGCCGAAGATTAGAGGTGTTACAAGAGAGTAACAAACACGAAAAAGGGGAAGGAGAGAGCTGGACGATATATTTTTGATAGGAAAGAAGGAGCAAACCACACCAGACCACCCGCCAACCACCCACAATCTTATTTTCTATGTGTGGGGCGGCATGGTGAAATCAGGTGCTCTTCAAAATAATGATATTTAAGAAACTGACAATTTCCCGCCAGTTTGGCTATTTTGATTAAAGGCACACAAAAATGTAAGTTTTCATCGAAGACAAAACAAATTAATAAACTACAAGATGATATCAATAACTCCACACGCTCAAGAATTGACGAGCGTCGGATTCCACCTCATCATGACACATATTATTTCCTTTTCAGTTTCATCAAATTTGTTCTCTGTCGTAAGAGCGTCTTTGCATTGACAGAACGTACACACTCAGTCGGAGGAAAGGTTGGCGAAAGGTTTTTACAGCAAGTGACCGCTATGAGCAGGTTTTGAGGTTGACTAGTTGCGGAAATGACAGAACGTGGTCGCGTTGGACAGGGACCTCTGTGGAAAGATTACAACTCGCGACCTGCTTAGAATTACAAAGTTCTATTTGACATTTTTGGCCGTTTTGAGTTACTGATACCATGAGGTCAGAAACCAAAATGTTCTATCTGCTCTAGCAAAATCGTAAGATTATTTGGAGTCGCTATCAAGATGTTCAAAGAATTGCATTTGAATAAAACTGACATGTTGTGAAACTCAACACTAACACTTTTAGGGGGCTCTCGTGGCCTAGAGGTTAAGGTGTTGGCCTCTCATTCAAAGGTCCCGGGTTCGAATCCGGGTAGCGACCGAAACATTTTCTGCTCTAAAATTGTCTCCTTTCACCTCCTTTCCTGCTCTCTAGCAATGTTCTGTTGTCTGCTTTCATTTCCACTTTCTGCCCCCACCCCCTCACCTCCTTTGCCCCCTCCTCTGGGCTCCTGACTCTTTCTGCAGCCTTTCTACTGCTACTCCTTGGCTCCTCTTTACTGCTGTCTTTCTGCCACACCCCTGATCTTCTGGTTGGAAAGATCTACACCTAGCCTTCTCGGACAAGGGCGAAAATTCTCGGAGGGCCCGTGTGCAAGTTGCGCACGTTAAAGATCCATTGGTGGTCTAAAATCGATAAGAGTAGGCTTCGGCCGCCACCCGGGCAAAATTCAAAATTTCCTACCAATTGAAAATATTAGGAGTGTCCCGCGCGCTCATATGACCTATGCAGTTGCGAGCACCGTAAAACACTTTACCAAAAAAAACAAAAACACTTTTAAAGTCATATTTCTCAAAACTATGTGTTGAGCGGATAGAATTTTGCGATTCTGAGGTAGCGTAATAATATAGGAACATAGAAAAAAAGACAAAGGTATCACGGAACAGTGGTCGTTAGAGCAGGGGGGATTGGGGGGGGGGGCGCTATGGACAGGTGATCATCAAGTCCGGCTTGACTGGAATTTATTTCTGTTCTGGCGAAATGTGCAACACGCTGGAACATTTGGGAAAAACCGTCAAAAACGAAGCTTTGTAGCGAGAGCTCATGCGCAGGTACATGAATATGTTCACTGAAGAGTTGACGGCCTCCATAAAGTTTCCGAGTGCCCAGCAGACCTGTCGTAGGTTGATGTAGTAGCCTCCCTTGTTGAAGTCCGACACCAGGGCCATGGTGAGCTGGAGCATGTTGGAGGGGATGTAGCACAGCACGAAGATGACGGTTATCAGGAACACCATCTTCCCGGCTTGTTTCGATTTGGCGATTCGAGATTCTTTGTTGAATGTAGCGTTGCTTGTAGCGCTGTTAGGGTCGGCTGATAGTTTTGATCCAGGAAAGTTTTGCCGAGTGAGGAAGTAGATTAACACGCACGCGCAGACGAAAGCCCAGATGAATGACGTCAGGGCGAGAAAGACTCCCATGACGAAAGCGATTCCGTCTATTGTCTGCCTGTTGTCGTTGAGAAGTAGACCGTATACTGTTCTGTTCCGAGTCTCGTCAAACTTGTAGCCGAGTCGCGTGCTGAGGTAGGTGGGCATCACGCTGAGCGCCATGATGACGTAGATAGACACCACGGCAATCACGCTCCGCTTGGGTGTGATCAAAGTCTTGACCTTGAGCGGGAAAGTGATGCACAGACATCGCTCAAACGCCACGAAAGCCGTGATGCCGGACACACAACGAGTGAAGTAGACTCTGGGCCAGCCAAACGACAAGTACTCAACCTCCGACGCGATGAACGACAAATCCTTCGACGCCATTAGCGGGCTGTAGAACTGGCCAATCAGAATGAGCAGGAAGGAGCTGCACATATCCGCAGCGGCGAGGCCCAGCAGCGAAATGTTTACGGTGTCCTTCAGCCCCATTTTGATGAAGACCGCGATGTTGATGGCATTCCCGACCACGCCCATTATGCTAATGACGCCACAGGCCACCACCCACACCAGAATGATGATCAGTGTGGCCGTTGGCTTGTCCAGTAGGTCGGGCTTTTCCTCCTCAACTTCCACGGCCAACGTTACCTGAGATAAGATAAGATAACATGGGATAAGAAAAGAAAAGAAAAGATGAGATGGTCCCTGTGGGAAAATGTTTTGTGACTTTACCGGAATAGTTAAGACATATTATGTGCATATACTTTATATTATTAGCTTCATAAAAGAATTTCAATAAGAAGGACAAATAAAATAAGCTGACAATAATTATATTATACAACATAGTATTGTCACATTTAAAATACATGTCTCAAAGCACTTTCCCACATACCTGTTCCATCTTGGAAACGTTTATATGTCCCCTCTGGAAGCTGCTGCTGAGATTGGGAAAACTTTCGTCAGCAGATCAGTCTCCGTTTAGTAAGAGTTTTTCGGCGCTCGCAACTGCATAAGGTCAAATGAGCGCTCAGATCTGTCTCCTTCCTTCCTGTCCTGTTGTCTGAAGGTTTATGACGACCTGTTGACAAACGTCTTTAGCGGGTGTTCTTTAAAAAAACCCAAACAATACACACACATACACACACATACACACACATACACACACATACACACACACACAACCCCCCACGAAAAAAACAAGAACAACAACACAACAACAACAACAACAAAACAACAACCCTACCTCTATGACGAAATGTAAACACATGCCTTCAGCGGGTATTCTTTTTTTTTTTCTTTACTACTATGCCGACCTGTGAACGAAGTCTTAACAGATTTTTAAAGAAAGAAATGTAAAACAACAACAATAACAACTACAACAAAACGTCTCTGAAAAAAAAGAAAGCTCTTTAATTAAAACAGCTCAGCAGACTTGTAAACAAACGTCTTTAGTGTTTTGAAAAGACGTAATGTAACGATTTGCTAACAAACATCTTTAACAATTTTCAAAGCTTCTGTGACGTCTTGTGAACGAACGTCTTTACTGTTTTTAAAAAAACCCATCCATCCATCCTGTTTTGTCGACGTGTAAGTGTAAGCCTTAAACAGTTCAAGTTTTGCCAAATGAAGGGAATTATTCATAACCCCACTCCCACTTCCTAAATGAACCTCGAGATAAATCTGCAATCTTTAACTCACTCAAAAAGTACATTTGTACAATCTGCACTATAACGTTATGGAAACTTTGTTTAACAACCCAAAACGTTTTTATAACACTACTATAATCAATTGATACGTGTGTCATTCGTGATCCATACTGCTTTCACAAGCAGTCTTTCGTAATTGTAACAAGTGTATGCTTATGTGATACAGATTTCAACAAAAGTTAAAGACCACTTGCAAACACTCAGAGTGGTCTTCTTGGGTCGACCTGCACGTGGGCGTTCTTGGACTGATCCAGTGGCTTGATGGCGCTGCCTCAGGCAGACAATGGCAGAGTGTGACACTGCAAGCCTTCTGGCAACTTCTCGGGCTCCAACTCCATCCTGCAGCCATGCCATAGCTCTGGCACCATCAAAGTCTCTCAGCTTTCATTGGTGGTATGTTGATGCGATACTGGATTTTGGGCAAACAGCGGCTTATATTGCCACCAAAGTGAGCGCAGTTCGAGACCGAATGTCCCGTTTATGACGTGCACCAGAAATTTTAACTGAGGAAAGCCCGTGGTGTCGCGCACAAGTCGACAAAAAAAACAGCAAAAGTGGCTAAAATTCCTCGAGGATTTTCGTGCTGCACGTGGTGGTTTTGCCCCTTTAGGAAGCTTGTAGTAGGCGTTGGTAACCATTAACACTTTCACTTACTTTCAGAGCAAAACAATTTGAAACATTTCTTGCCGTTTTTTTTTCGGATTTTTAAAACATCAAGGCTGTCAGTCAAGGTGGTCCTTAACTTTTGTTGAAGTCTGTAAGCACCAACGACCTTAAACACCGGATAAAATACCAATCTTTTTACCTACCTACTATCTACCTCTGTCCCTCAAAGTGGACTCCCCCCCCCCTCCCTAAGAAAAAGTAAATAGATACATCGCTTCCTCAGAATTACAAAGCTCTATCTGACATTTTTGGCCGTTTTAAGTTTCTAAGACCATGAGGTCAGAAACCAGATTAATGTTCTATCTGCTCTATCAAAATCGTCAGATCATTCGGAGTCGTTATCAAGATATTCAGCGAATTGCATTTGAAAAAGCTTGACCTGATGTGGAACTCAAAATGTTTGACGTCAAATTGATCAAAACTAGGTACTGTACAATGTGCGGATACAGTCAAGTACCGAGAGGCTGGCAGAGTTTTATAATATTTATGACACTTTAGAAAACAAGGAAAAACAATCAATCAAACAAACAAACAAACAACACGAAAAACCCAACAAAAAAATACTAATGCAGCACCTGATAAGCAGCTATGCCGACTTCTAAGCCTAAAAGCGTGAAGATCTTCCACCTCAGCCCAACAAACGCGAAGAACTGCCAGTCAAATGACTCACTCACTCACTCACTCACTCACTCACTCACTCACCTCCGCTGTCTCAAACTGTGGAACTTACTATAAAGGTGAATGCATTTTTAGTCGAGACTTTAAATCCACGCGCCCACACACATTAAGTACAATTAGAGACAATACAATACAAACTAGGATTGTTTGTGGCCAAAGTTCATCTGTCGTTCATCACACCTCAGTAGACACGACCGCCCCAGGAGGGTTTACGTTCTGTCTTTTGTCTCACTCATCTCTGAACACACCGACAATTACCACCGATAATCAAACAAACAGAGCATTATGACACTGATGGGCTGAAACTTCAACAACGAATTCTTTCATCGACAATTTTTGGTGAACCTTCTTGGGAGAAACAGGAATTGATTACTGAAAAGACAACCGTTTGGAAAAGAATGAGTGATTAAAATCTGTGGGTGAACAAAGGCTAGAATTTGCTAAACTACTCGTGAGTACTGCCTCGTCCCACGTGCCAATAAATTCCTGAACTGTCACAAGCGTTGAATTCCGTATAATTTCCTTAAATTTAAGATGTCAACAAACGATAAAGCAATTTCACCTTGCTCGCGGAGTAAGTAAATGAAAAATTTGTCGTAAATTATTTTGAATCCTAGTAAGTGGATTCTGATTTATTTCGCTTAAAATTTTTTAATGATTAATAAAATTTGGCTAACAGAATGCCAATTTAAGAAAAAAACTCGACACTTTCCAACCACGATTGTTGTTTGCCTGGCAAAAGTACACAGACGACAGTTAAGATAAAAGGTTGTGCCAAGTCGTTACTTCAGAGTTACAAAGTTTTATCTGCTCAGTACCTAGTTTCGAGAAATTTGACGTCAAAGATTTTGAGTTTCATATTAGATCTATGTCAAGCTGTTTCGAATGCAATTCTTAAATAATAGATCTATCTCGATAACGACTCTTGATAGAAATCTAATCTTAATAATTTTGACAAAGCAGATAGAACCTTTGGTATCTGACCTCATGGTCTCAGTAATCAAAGCGGCCAAAAATGTCAGATAAAACTAAGTAATTCTAAGGTAGGGAAGTGTCAATGACGTAGGCTTTGTAAAAAAACAAACAAACAAACAACTATAGCAGTTTTAAGTAAGCTTGCAATTATTTTTTGGCATTTAGATTTAGGGGTCGAAGTTCAGTGAGCATCTTTTATTATTCACGCTACCTACGCAATGTTGTGAGTTTTCTAACCACTTCTTGTTTCATCAGTGAGGAATCGAGGGTGGATGGAGGGTGGCTGGAGGGCGCCACTGGTATGTCCTACTTCTTTACTTCCCCGCTGTTGTCTGTCTGTCTGTCTGTCTGTCTGTCTGTCTGTCTGTCTGTCTGTCTGTCTGTCTGTCTGTCTGTCTGTCTTTTCCTCAGCACAAAGTGACCACTATTGGGTCGATGTGCTCCTCTTTACAAAAAAAAACCCAGCAACACTGCACCTCCCCCGAATTAATGAGATAGCTGGGTAGAGTGCTTTTTGATGTTATAGAAAACTAGTCGTTGAGCAACTTTTTCCAAATTTTAATATAACAAAAGCTAACTATTATGATCACCTTTCTCGTGTTTCTAAATCAAAGAGATATGATATCCAGTATCCAGATTCTAAGTCAGAACACAATTACTATGTATTTACTGCAAAATTGTATTTGTAAAGCGCTCAGAGCCCGAGATCTTTAATCGTGGCTGAACGGTATACAAATGTCATATAATATCATTAGATACCATTTTAGCAGTTTTATGTTCTTCATTTCTAGCAAGAAGCGCAGCAAAATCAATGAGTAAACAATACTGAGACAAGTGGTTTCTCAAGAGCCACCATCAAGCAATTGTACACGCTCTACCACTCTTTCATTGCCTGTTATTTCCACGTAAAAAGCCTATAATGAATCCAAATATGACTAAACAAATATTGTATTTCTAAAGGTAGGAAGTACGGTGATATCATTATGTCTCGTATAGTCTTTCATTTAGCTGATACGTCTGTTACATTTAACAGATGCGTCTATTGCATAAAAGGGGGTGAGATGCAAAGCCCGCTAAGTGACATTTTGAAAAAAAAATTTCTTATAATTAATGCACATTGTTACCGGCTCTCAGATGTACAAAGTGTTTTCTGCCCAAACCCAACACGTACTTCGTAAAAGCCACCCAAAAAATCTTCTTTTTACGCATGTTCGTGCGTATAGCAGCATTTAAAACAACGGATTTTCTCAAAAGTGCTAAAATGGATGAAACTATGAAACGGGATTTGTATCTCAGCCCGTCATATTTAACGGATGTGTCTACACCACGCTCGTGTATTTCCTTGTGGAAGAAACATTATACGACGTGGCGACAAAATTGAAGGCATTTGTGTCCAGACAGGGTCCTTTTCTAGGGAGAATTTCAAAATGTAATACAATAAGAAATGAAGAGCTGTGGGAAATGACAGGACAAAAGGATATAGAAGTAGAACTAGGACTAAGAAAGTGACGATGGATGAGACAATAGATGTAGAAATAGGACTAAGAAAATGGTGATGGATGGGACACATCTTCAGAAAGCCCAGCGGAAACATCACAAGACAGTCGCTGCAGTGGAACCCACAGGGAGCACGAGGCAAGGGTAGGCCACGGGAAACATAGAGATGTGTGGAAAAGGGACATGAGAGAGGTGAAGCTCACATGGAACGAGCTAGGAAGGATGGCCCAGGACAGAGATAAATGGAAGGAGCTTGTATGTGGCCTATATCCTGCCAGGGGTGAAAGGATGGCCCAGGACAGAGATAGATGGAAGTATTTGTATGTGGCCTATACCCTGCCAGGGGTGGAAGGCATTGATGACTAAGACGATGGCACAG